AAAGTAAGACCATCTGAAAGCATTCCGCTATCCGAAGTGCGAGATCTGATTGGAATAAGTAAATAATTGTAAAAAAACAAGCGTGAAATGACTGTTTATAACAGCTTGGCCCTTTTAAATAAGGTTGGCTGATAAGTGAATAAGTGTACAACCATCATGCATACTCGATTTCCGCGAAACAAGAAGGCTTCACTAAGGAGCCCTAACTAAGTAGCCTAAAATATATCGCATCAACCAAGCCTACAGGGATATCCAGTCGATTTTTAAGTGTTAAGCTCAGAATTTCCTCCGCTTCTGTCGGTAGATGGAGTGCAATTTACTAATCTTCTGGTGCACATTTCCGACAAAACAAACAGATAAAACTTAAAATTACTAGTAAGTCCTGGTATATGAGATTAATGTAACACTATTCTGCCTTCTGTGGGGCACCATATTTAGATCGCTGGGATAAGTCTCCTGTGTGTTTTTAGCTTTGACATGGATCCTAGCGAGACCATAAGGGAGAATAAGGACATAAGGAGTAAGCCATTTGAAGGCATTAGTAGCAATTTATAATATTTATCTTATAATGGTAGTTCATTTTAATTATCAATACCTCTCGTGTAGAATATACGTTGTTTGCGGTTTCAGGGCTTTAAATTTAAATTAGACATGTCAAAAAGTAGTCTTGATTTACGGATAAATTTCGCGATACATCGATGTTTACAAATGCTCAAACTAGGCGATTCCTCAACAAGATCATGTATTCATGATGATAAAAGATAATTAGAGCTTGAACTATAGAATTTTAGACCAGATGGAAAAAACTAATAACCAGTTTTGGATCCGTCGAACGCATGTCAAAGTTAACGGAGGAAAATACAAGGCAAATACATCGGTCAACCGGTAGTGATTATCTGAGACAGGACTTGGCTGAGAATTTGCGTCTAATAGCAAACCCTCTAAATTTCTTCTAGGTAACCACTACTGCCTTTTAAATTTATTCTTTAAAATATTGCACAATTTTTGCCCTTTTTTGGTGGCTATGGGGAGTTCAAGTGAGGACTTGACTCTCGCTCGTGTGAGACACGAAAAATTGATATGTATTCACCCTATTTCGTCTAAGGTGATGAAGGACTGGTAGTAGAACTTTCCCACAATGAATATGAGTTGAGCTA